TTGAGAATATCTTTTTTTTAATGGTATGAAGAGCAAAGTGCGGAAAAATATTTTCGGCTAATGAATTGTGAAAAGTCAAGTTAACGAATTGTAGGAAGTATGTACAAAATATGAATGTGGTTTTGAAATGCGCAAAAGAAATGGTTGGCAAAAGGGAAGCCATTGCAAAAGTGTGCTGCGTGCGGCATGGTGTTTTGACAAACAGAATCCACTTAAATGGATATGTTTTGTAGCGAACTGGTTTGGTTGATTGAAAAGAAGCAGCGAAGAATTTTAAGTACTTTATTATTTATTTGAGATGGGAAGCATGAAATGCATTTATGGAATTTCACAAACGTAAATATTTTAGGTGCATTGCAAAAGTACCAAATGGGATCACTAAAAATGAAATGAGTTGTAAACAATACATATATTGAACTTAAAGTGAAAAGCAGGTAAAATAAGATGCATATTTGAAATTTCTAAAACATGAGTTTTCCCAGAAAAAAGTGGAAAAGGCAAGAAGTAATATGCAGAAAGACAGCCGATTAATACGAGTAAATATTTAAACTAGAGAAAGTTGCAGAATGGACTTGCACATTATGATTGGGCGTTTTTGAACCGAATTCTGAGATAGGGCATTCTTCAATCAAATCCTGAAATAGGGCGTTGTTGAAAAGTATTATGAGATACGGCATTTTCGAACTGGCTTTATAAGGGAATAAGGTCTTTAGAGATTTTGACTGAGTTGAACAAAGTCAAACAAAATAGCGAGCTATCAACGCCGCCTCAACAGCTACCTATTCCCGGCCCGGCATGTGGAGAATCTCCTCATGACACCAACCACCACTTCACATGCCAGCTAAATCCGACTCAACTGGCACCCCTCTCCTTTAGTCCGAACCCAATCCGTTAGTTGAGCTCGACGACAAAGAAACCGTTTCAAAAATTCTCACCTGGCCAGGTGACGGAGAATTCTTTCGTGAACAAAAATCATTCGCAAACCTTTCCATCGACTACAAGATTCAAAGATAACACATACATATGTATGTATCTCGTACTTCCTCAATATAGAATTTTTGAAGCCCAAACTTAGCACCTCACGGAAGTCATCAGAGTGTCGCAACCTCACTTAAAAAGTGGAAAATATGTAAGGCGATGCGATAACTGACACCCAGGGGGCCTACCAGCCTAGGGAAGCAATTGAAGCCTTGTTACTTCCGTCCCACCGCGATATTTAACGCCACTAATATATAAATAAACACTGGCCCATGTGGATTGGCTGCCTTAGGAGCATTAAACCTGTTCTACTGGAAAACAAAGGAAAATCTTCCCAACCCATCCAGCTTAAAGTGGTGATCCACCAGGGCGGTGACCTATGTATATCTATACTCTATATATTGAACACCTTCCATCTTAAAGACCAGATTCAGCCATATACGCGTGGTCCACTTTTCCAGAAAGACTATAGACACAGGTCATAGAGAGGAAATCAAGATAATATGGGATGCTTATCTTCTAAATAACTCTCCATAATAATTTGCGACCTAGGTCGGAAAGTTTTAAAGTAATCCAACAAATATAATGGACACGGTGAGTATGTTCGTAAAATGCGCTTGGTCTGTCCGTGACGAAAGATTTTCAAACAGCTCGAAACACTCTCAAAAGCAGTTTTTTTGATCGTCCTATTCAAAGGCAACTTAGTCAATGCTCGGAATGTTTTTTTTTGGAAGCCAGCTAACCTTCATTAAATGAAATGAAATCCCAACATTAGCCATTGTCCTAAAATCTCTGTTTTGCTCATTTATATACTTTTATGAAGGTTTCGAGTGGCTTGTCCTCGAAAAACTAGTTGTTTCTGTACCCATAATAAATATTTCTTCTTACACATGCTTCTCTACTCCTCTGTCGACTCAAATTTCATAACATCAGACCAATTCAAGCACTTACATAATTACAGTCAGAAACCTTGACTTTCGTGCTACCGACTTGTCACTAATAACAAAGTCTCCAGCTATCGAAAATAATTAGATAGAGGCGACATTAGAGAGATATGTAGAGATAAGCGAATGCTAAATGTGCATAAATTGGTGACGCCGGAAAACCTACGCATTCTTACTTACCACTTATTTACTTACAACTAGTGGATGTCAAACAAGTCGTATCAGCAAAGTAGACGCGACGGTTGAAATCGTGCAGCGTTTGACATTAAAATTACTGCCGCCCACGTGCAAATTGCAACTTCCGTTCGAAGTCGCTGTTAAGGCCGCCTGTGGCGTAAAAATTTTTACAAAATTAGCACTCAGAAATGGTTGGTGTTTTTTTCTTGATTGTTTGTTTGTTTGTTTGTTTGTATTTAACAATTATAGCGTGCATTTCGCTGAGGGCAAACATTCATTTCTTCCTTCCTTCCATTTATGTTAGAGGCTATTTGCTCGGTGACGGCAGAGCGCATGCGCAAATGCTCAATACCCAAGTTAGCCGTGTATGTATTTAGATTTTTTTTGTGTCTTTTGCATTGAGGTCGACACAGTGCGTCAGCGCGTTACGGCGCGTTATGGCCAATTGACTCTATGGCCTGCAAGTGTGCAATTGCATTTCCGCATGGCCTTAAAAGGTGGCTTTGAGTGAGTACTTAATTTTTTCTTTTGCTTTTTAGAGCAACCATTTTAAGACTCTTTTTCGAAGTCAATATTTGAGGATTTTAAGTGTATGCTTTCGCAAGTTTATTGACATTTCTTTGGCAGTGAAAAAAAAACATAACCCAAATGAAGTGAGAATGTATGGGCGTTGCTTTTTTTATTGTTTGGTTAATGTTGTTAGCATCTTACTTCTTTTTAATGCCTTTTGCGCTTTTTTTTTTGGTTTCATTTACTTGATAGTTGTGCAATTCGTTTTTCTGGCTAACCTGCTGTTGGCAGCCCACGCAGCCAGCCGTTAGTCGTAACAAGACGCCAGCGTGTTTTTGTGCGCGGTTGCGGTTTTACTGGCGGCTTAGTTCGTAAGCTTGAATTTAAACTGGAAATCTTTAATGGATCTATAGGCAATCGTACTTACATGCAAACATACATACATACATACAAATGGATGTATGAATGAATAAATGTAAGTCAATTTTAAAGCTTGTGTATATGTAGTAGCGCTTTGGGATTGCCATATAAGGCTAAAGCGGTCGTCCACTAATAAAAAAAAGTGTCACAATGTGATTACTGGAATCGATTGACGATTGAAATACTTAGAGATCTTATGCAACTCGAAATGTTGATTGTGAAATAGTAAGTGACAACGATTATTTAACATTTCGACCATCAAGCTTGGATAGACAAAAGCCGCGAAAAAATAGATATTGCATATTTTTTTTATTAGATACATTTTTAGTATCCCTTAAAATGGTAAAATACTCGGGTCCTCGAAGTCTTTGCTCAACTGCCAAATTTTATTTTGAATTTTTCGTGTTTAGTAAAGCTGTTAAAACTTCATTGAAATTTTACTGAATCGAATCCCAGCCTTATTTACTTTAACCCTTTAAGTGCAAAAAAAAATAAGCAAAAAAGTTTTTATTTTCATCACACCGGCCGAAAAGCTCCAAGTACAAATACACAAATAAATTTACAACCGTTAGCCCAAGAAAAAGGAACCAGAAAGGTTTAGATGATTTTGAAATAAACAAATTCTGTTTGTACTTTCATTATAACTTTTTAAAATAAAAGATATTTCTTAGAAAAATGTATATACGGATCACTCAGAGAAAACCAATCAAAAACTCAGAAGCTCATACAATTAGCTTGCGAGTATGTTTGCTCTTTTGGGTAAACTGCTCGCTGGTCATCAGAGGGTTAAGAAAATTTTGAAAGAATTGATTTTTTTTTTGTTTAATAATCTTACTCCATGCATTTCCAAAACCTCGAAAAACTAAGTAACATGCTGGTAATGTAGCTGGTTTCTTGAACATTGGTTCTATGAAGTTCTTAAAAATATTTTCTCGTCTAGTGACAAGGTCAAATATTTGGGTGTGACTCTAGGCAGTAAGCTAATGAGAAGCGAGTAAAAAAGGCATAAACTGTATGAAATCATGGTCGAGCCAATTAGGCTGTCTGTTGAAATTTACTAGAGGCGTCTACATTAGTTAAGAAGGTAGAAGGTGTTCAAACGGGCGTACTTGTTCAAATCCAAGTAGCGTCGCCTTCTGGGCGACTTGTACTCTAATCCTGATCACTACGTGTTCGTAGTACCCGCAGACATTACGGGTAAAACGCTGGCACCGATTGGATCCTTCTTTACATATGTCCATACATTCCCCTAAAATTGTGAACGACAGAGTGAAGCTACTGAAACAAGTGGTCTAGAGTTAGAGAAGGCTTGTTCTATCATGAATTCCTCTATAATCTCACGTTTGGACTTCCGGATTTCTGCAGTGTATTTCCAGCGGCAATCAGGTGCGATCGAAACTGGTTGGAAAATACCTGACCTCTCCGTCGTTAGTCTCGGACTACTTCACAATCAAGCCGACTTGTGTTCCAGAGTGTATTCTCGGAAGTTTTGGCATAGGGAGTACACGTAACAAACGATGAGTGTCGGATGCAAAACTCCACATGCAATGTTTGAAAGTCCTTGTGGCTGTTAGTCGACCACTGGTTGTCAAAGGAGGTTCTCAAATGGGCAAAGCGCTAATTGTAGGTTCTCATAGGAATCCTCGCCGGGCACAGCCGAATAGGAACTCATGTGGTAGCGCTTAATATCGTTTCGAAGCCTTCTAACCTGCCATCTTTACATAGCAAATTTATGGTATTCCTCAATAGCCTAGGTAAGTTCGATCTACTAAATGCAGTTTATTTATGCAAGGCGAAAAAAATTGAGGTTAGACGAAAATGGTCGCAACGGAGCAAATTTCCGTCTTTTGAGGACAGGAATTACTAACACATCTTTTAGCAGAAAGCAAGTGAACCAATACAGCCAACGCGTCTGTTTTCTTATCATCTCGAAGATTACAACTTCTCTTTCATAGTTATCTTACAAAATAGTACAAACACCAGTATAAATCAAAGATTTTTCCAAAAGTGAAACATTCTTCAAACAAAAAAAAAAGTATTTGTGCATTTATCTATAAGATAAATGCAATAAAATGCAAAATAATTAAATGGAAGAAACCGCAAATCATCGAGCAGTTAAAATTTTTGGGAATTACCGAAAATGTGCTATCGAGTGTAAGGTAGAAAAAATAACAAAAACAAAAGATACGAATTAAGTAAAAAACCGTGCGATAAATCGACTGCGGCAGAAATACCATAAAATAGTTCAAACAAACACAAAAAAATCCAACAGCAAAAATGGCTGTCAAATCGACGCGCAGTCCGTTGATAACACAACAGCAACCAACAATAGTGCCAACACCAACAACAGCAGGCACAATGCCCGGCACAAGCATACGTTCAAGACTGATCTTCCCCAGAAGTCATCATCATACACAGGTAACCACAAAGGTAATGAACTTAATGAGTAAGAGTAAGAGAATACGATTAGTAAAGGTAACATGAAAGAATACACAAATGTAGCTCTGGTAAGTGAAAAATGAATACTAGAAAAAAAAATAAAATTTGGTGATCAATAAAAGATTGTTGGATGCTACTTTTTTAAGGTTTCTTGAATTGCTTAGCAAAGATCGAGATTAAATTCTGGAATTTTTAGACAACAAACAATACATACATACATACGAATAAATAACCACTCCATCAATACAATGACACACTGATTGTGAGCTATGGAATTATGAAAGTAACTGTGCGCGCAAGTCAATAACCGGTTAAGTATCTTTTGCTTCCAAGTATGCGATTGAACCAAGGCAACATTCCACGCATAACTTTATTAAACAATGAAAACAAAAAGAACAACAATAATACAAGTAGAAAGAAAATGAGAAAAACAATTAGGCGAGGAAAAATTTGTAAGCATTTGCTACTGTTTAGATATTTGTAAGTACATAAGTTGTTAGTGCAATCAATTCATTAAGAAGTATTTTTGATACTACATTGTAGGAAAGAACTCTTCACAAGAAACACTGTCTAAAAGTGAAGATTTGTATAAAAATTTCGAAAAGATGCCTTCACAACTGCAAATTCCAAACACATAGCCCAAGTTTTGTGGGCTCTCCATTTTTAGAGTAACTTCCATGAGATAATTTCTTGAAAAACTTTGCAGTAGCAGACAGAAAAGGACAGTTGGAATGCGCCCTTAATCCAACTTGAATAGTATTCCTAGATTACCCCTAACCATCCCAATCTCTTGGAAAATCTAGCAAGCCCTTCCAACGAGACAGAGCCGTAGACCGTTAAAGCCTTTGGAGAAGTGCTGGTAAACTCTACGGAGGAGTCGATTGGATTTCTGGTAGACCCTAAAACCCAAGATTTTCTAATCACCCTGCCATGTTAGCCTAGAGAAGGTGCAAAAAAGGATAAGGCAAGGGGATAGGCGAGGAAATTTATACTTTTACGGATAAGTCTGCCATAACAAAAACAGCAACACCTCTCTTTCTCTTTTTCCTCTTTGAGTACAGAATTGGAGGTTTCAGCAATTTTGAAATCCTTTTGAGATGCATTGAGATTTTAAAAACTTTGTTTAGATTTTTGCTATTCTATACTCGTAGTGTATTAATTTATTACTTAATAGAGAGAGAGAGAGAGAGCGAGAAAGAGAGAGAGAGAGAGATGGATAGAAAAAGGGTGAGCTGGAAAAGAGTGAAAAATTTGGCAAAATCGAAACCAAATTCTCTATTCCTTTGTGGATTGGGGGTCTTGATAAGTCATATTCTTGCCCTAGGAATATCTATTGATTTTCGTGCTCACTTGAATACTTCTATTAGACTTTCAGTCTAAAACGTAAAATAAATGTTTAAAAAAATTATTACTGTTACGCGTGAATACTTTAGTCATTCTAATTTCAATGAAACTCATTAAAATGTAGCACTAAA